CTAATTGTACTTCTAGTTTCAGTTACGCATTGTACTGTACATGAATTCTAAGAAGAAAGACTAGCAAATATGGTTATACAGAGTGCGGAGTAAGATCTCAGTCAAAAATCATTATTACATAAGAAAATAGATTAAACTATATCACACGTTATGCGCAAACCTAATCAATTTGTGAGAATTTCCTTGAATTCTTCTCAGGAATGCTGCCCCACATTTTCGCTGTTTTACTACTTGTCAAAAATAATTAGGACGCGTCAAGTCAGACCTATTATTCCGCCATTCCGCTCCATCTAAGTTTGTTGATATGCTTCTTCCTTAATATTTTTATTCAAAGGTCTTTGTTGTGAAGAGATATGTTGTGTCATGCTTTGTTTGTCATTTTGTTACTCCAATCATAATGATCTTTCACTTTTGAAATAAGCCAATATTATTACATAAATGCGAAGACGGACGACGCATGACGGATGCATGTAAATCCACACTTACCCTTGCTTTAGGGCAGGTGTCGGTTCTTGAGAGAAAAAAATAATAAATTTGAGTAGACGGGGTTTTTAGTTTGTAATTTTTTAATAAAATAATCTTCTTTAATTTGCAGCCTCTGCTCTAGAGTTAATGACGTTGTCTTTTTCAGGACTCGTGTAACAACGTTATTATCCCTCTTCCTCCCCCTGGCGGCGAAGACTTACTGTCCAAAGCTCCGGAATCCGGATACAATTCGGACAAAATCGAAAACAGCAGCCCGGATTCGAATAACCACAGAACGAACTCGCCGAGCAGGTTAAACCCGAACGACAGTGGCGTGCCTAGTCCCACGGCGCCAGGGAAAATATGCGCGCAGAGCGCGTCGCCCAACAGTCCAGAAAACAGTCCGGCTTCGAGCGAGACCAACGTCGATATGGGAAGTCCTATCTTGGGGAATAACAGCCCAGATGAGGAGTATGGCGAATGCAATAGGTAGGAGTCACATGTATAATAATTATTATATCCCATTTGTTCTGCATTCTGTGAAGCCGAGCCGGTAAAATAGGTATATAACAAAATTAAGTCTTTCGTTGAGGGAAGTAGAAGCGTTGTGCGCAAGCGTGGATCTTGAATTATCGATTGGATAACTAAATACTAGCATCGGCTGTTCATAATTAAAATTGGCTCCGATCGATGGCTGTCAGTTGCGCTGAGCGCGACACTAGCCAGTCAAATTTCCTAATATTGGACTTGCGCGTAACACCAGTACTACCCTAACAGATGAATTTATGTGAAGTATACATGGAACGTGTATCTAGTTGTCTCTGCCTCGGCTTCAATTCCAATACATTGCCGGTATCTATACAGTGCAGTATCTATATCTATGCAGTATTAAATAAGTGCAAATATTTTCAGGGCTGGGAGATCTCGATAAAAGAAACATATTGTCTCTACCATTTTTCAGATAAGTCCAGAAGAACCGAGTTATTTAAGTTTGAAAATTTAAAAAAATTATTTTTTTTAAATTTTGAGACCCACCGGATTTTTTCTGTATTTCCCTTTTTCTGCATCACTTTTAGGGCCGTACAGGGAAATTTAAAAGAAAATGCCCGATTTTCAACATCTTTTTTTTTTGTGAAAAAAAAACCTCATAGACGTGTTCTTGGGGTCGAAATATCCCACCACTGAAAATATTTGCTCTTATTTAAAACTCACCCTGTATACTGCCATAATCTATATAGTCATTATTATACAGGGTGGTCCGAACTGTATTCCGGAAATTTTGGCAGCATATTCTGCAGATAAAAATAAGTAAATATGTTCCTATAAATATATGTCCTAAAATGCTTAGTTTCGGAGATACAGGGTATAGAAGTTTCATTTTTATTCCGATTTTTTCCAAATAATTTCTGAAGTAACGTCAATATTTAGATGAAAATTAGTGTCTGGGAGTTTTTTGACATGACAAATTTGATTTTAGTGTCAATATGACTCCTACTTGTAGAAGGCGCCACCTACATATATTTCAACTGGTTTGAAGAGTAATAACTTTTAGTCCTACTGAGTAAAAACATATACATTTACGACATTTTTACGTAAAAAAGGTCTCTTGGGAAAAATCGCTACGAGTAATGGTGCTCGAAATATTTGGAATTGAAATTTCAATAACATATATTAAACATGTTGACTAAAGAGTTATTAGACTGAAGTCATAAATTTGAAATGTTTTTGTGCCAAAAGTTCAACAGAAACTGTTTTATCATCATTTCTTCGCAGAAAAATTTATGATTAATTTAAAAAAAAAATCCCGAAGAATTTATTGTTTCAGTCAAATAACTATCTACTCAACGTGTTTATTTTTTGTCAATAATGACATGTATTGTCTATTTCCATTCTAAATATCTTGACAACGGCTACTCGTAGGGATTTTTACCAAGAGACATTTTTTACGTAAAAAGTCACGGAAATGTTTATTTTTTCACTCAGTACTTTTATACAGGTACGGACGAGAGAAAAGTTATTATTCTTCAAAACAGTTAAAACACATGTATTTTTATCTGCAGAATATACTACCGAAGTTTCCCGAATACAGTTCGGACCACCCTGTATATATGGTAGAAGTAGACAGATTTTATGCCTCCGATATCCGACGATACAATATTAATTTTATTGGTTGAATTTATAGGCTTTAATTGGTTAGAAAATTCTATAGTTCTTAAATTTATTGCATTCTCATTGCGTCATTTTCGTTCAAGTTGAGTCCTGAGTCCTGTCTGAAGCATGGCCAGTAATTTAACTAATGCATTACCGCGTGGTTCTAAACAGTGACAACGGAGGAAGTTAAACTCTTTCTGGAAATGAAAAAAAAAATACTTTATTATGTACTATTTCTTGTTTATTTTAGTATTAGTGAGTTTTTTTTGTAAAAAATAATATACATTTTTATTTTATTAATGTGGTAGCGTACTTATAGAAGATTCTGTCGCTTTTTCAGTTCTTTCCAAAGACCAATGTCAAGACTGGCTTTTGTAGAAACCCATAAAAGTATAGACCTTAAGGCGGATTTAGAGAAACTTAGTTTATTGAACGATGGAGATTCGACGAAAGTGAATTCTTGTGATAATACTTGTGGTCAAAACGCAAAAGGAGCCTATGCATCTGAACCGACGGAGATGGTATGTATAAATTAACAAAGTTTAGCTAGTTTTGAATAAGATTTCTTAAACCCCGTCTACACATTGTTTTACCTGTCAGGTAGACGGAGAAATATATGTTTATGTATTATTTTCTTTTATCTATGGTTTATATTATACCTTTGAATAAGAAGACTAAGGAAGGAGCATATCAAAAATCTTAGGTACACCGTGATGGGCCTCACATATGGCCGACTTAAATTCCGGTTTATCAGTGTCGTTCTAATTTTATTTAAAAAATGTAAAACTATGATGTAGGGTAGACGTGGGGTAGACTCAATAATGTTTTATTTTATTTTACGTTGTGAACAAATGTTGGTAGTTATTAAAATTGTTATAAAAACATATTATTATAATAAAAATAGATAAGTTTTAATAATTATTTATTAACACAAAAATTCGATACGCTACTGAAGCAGGTAAGTCAAATTGACGTATCTAAATTCTTTGACATCTAATCTTTGACAAGTATAGTAAATAAAAACAAAAATGCAAGAAAAAATATATAGTTAGTTAATTTAAGTGAATTTCATAAATGATCGGTTTACTACACGTATGTATATTATATAGTCACTTACTAGCGAAAAGTTGTTCCATTATTTCACTCGATTTTTGGCGAGATCTACTGCACGCTACACAACCAACTATTTTAGAGTCTTTTTCGATAAATCGCGATAGTGTCACTGTTAATTTCAGTTCTGCCACGATTTCCATTAGATTTACTACCTTTATACAACTATCCGTAGTAGAATAAATAATAAATAACATAAAATAAGCTCAGTAAAGCCTGACAAATCCACAAAATTTAAAATCAAATTCAAATGTGTTAAATGAATTGTCAAACAGAACTGTCAAGGATCCCCACCCTAGAGAGCTTTTATGGTGCCTTTTCTGCCCACCATGCATGAATACATGGATAGCATTATGCTCCTTCCTTAGTCTTCTTTATTCAGAGTATTACAACCTAAAAAGGCTCTATACAGGGTCGCTGTTATGTATAGAACCGGTCGAATATTAGGCAAGAAATACAAGGTACCGCAAAAGTTAAATACAAAATTATAGGGTTTTTAAATGTCTATTGGCGAGTAATAAATTTATGTATACAGAGTCGGTCATAAAGTCGTGGCACATCAAAGTTTCATTTTTTTTAAATAGAATCCCTTTGTATATTATTGCATATTTCAATTTTTCCTTTAATTCTAAGCAAAAATCGAAATACACACAATGTACCTCAAACCAACCGTTTCCGAGTTATTGACTTTGAAAATATCACTTAAACAATTTGATTTAATTAATCTCGGTATGTTCAGTTTCATTTAACGATGCCATGCTGCCGAAACTGTGATACTGTTGTAATCAGTTTTTAAATGTCTTATTAGCTATTAGTAAATTTAAGTATACAGGGTCGGTCATAAAGTTGTGGCATATCAAACTTTTTTAAAACAATTCTTCCTTCAATTTTAAGCAATAATTGTAATACACAATGTAATGTAAAATGGAGAATTGAAATGTTAAAACGAAAATTTTGTAATTTCCAGACTTGATATAATCTCATTTTATACATCTATAAATGCTAACTTGAGAACTAATGTCAAATATTATTAAGTATCGCAGTTTCGGCAGAATGGCATCGTTAAATGAAACTGAATATATCGAAATTAATTAAATCAAATAATTGTTTAAGTTATATTTTCAAAAAGTCAATAACTCGGAAACGTTTGGTTTGAGGTACAATGTGTGTATTCCATTATTTTATGTGCCACGACTTTATGACCGACCCTGTATACTTAAATTTATTACTCGCTAATAGATATTTAAAATGCAAAACTTTTGTATTTAACTTTGCGGTAGCTCGTATACCGGGTGCGTCTCAAAAAGTGGCTCACCCCTATAACTTTTTATTTTTTTTTCAGATTCTGAATAGAATGACATATCATATGTCAACTTTTAACATTTTCGCTTACAAAAAAATCGTATTTAAATTTAAATCTATGGCTGTGTTAAAACATTAATGTTTAATCAAGGAGTAGAAAAATAGATTTGATCATCTAATGTTCTTCGTGTCTTGTCCTGGCGGGTTAAATGATGCACAAATCTTTTTTTAAGTTTTGTATCTCAATTTTTTTCAAATGGAACAAGGATGGCTCATTAGCATATTTGGAAAAATCATTTTTTACGAATAATTTGGTACCAAACACTTTGTATTTTGAGTCAAATTGTCATTATGAACCATGTTACAATTTCAAATAAACCAAATGCAAAAATGTTGTATGGGTGAGCCACTTTTGAGCCACCATAAAAGTTATATAGGTGAGCCACTTTTGAGACGCACTCCAGTATATTACCTAATAATCGAACGTTTCCATACATAACAGCGACCCCTGTATAAACATAGATTAATAGAAAAATGTGAATTACATGAAGAAAATAATGAAAAAGAATGACGTTTTATTACAGATGGACGAGGACGATGACTCAGAAGATTACCGAGAATACTCCGGCACTCTGGCTCCGAGATATCAGTGCGAGGAAGGCGAGTGTTCGGTGGAGTCCTGTCTGAATCAGTTCACCGAATGCGAACTGATGATGGGACGAAACCAAGTCAGTTGTGATAATTGTACCAAGTGTTCTGATAAAGTTCCTAAAGAGACGGTGTACAGAGACGCTTCGAAGCAATTGCTCATATACAATCCTCCGGCCGTACTCATATTGCACCTTAAGAGGTTTCAGGTGAGAGTTTGTTGTTATTTTCGTGCTCTACAAGTTGTTTCAGGCATGGGAAAACGTAATTGTTTAATGGTACATTTGAACTACTTTGAATATAGAGGCTGTAAACAAGTAAGCGCCAAAAATTTGGGAGGCGATTGCTTTTTAAAATAATAATAGAGTTAATAATCTTCCCTATTTGCTTATACAGAGTGTGTGTCAAAAGGTTCTCAACAAATTATATTTTTTCTATTGAGTTATTGAAAAATAAGTTTATGCGATAATTTATAGTTAATTTTCTTGCATACCCAAGTAGCATTTTTGGACACATTTTAGGTAATATTTCTAATAAACGTGTCTGTTTCTCCAAACAAAATGGAAACGGTATGCCACAAATAGGAAACATTTTCGAAACCTATATATTTTCAATGACTTCATTACATGTGTTTCCAATGTGGTGGCACTAGCCGTTTCCTGAAATGTTTCGATGCGGAATCAAAACTTTTAGAGGAAAGGTTTCGAAACATTTTCTGCAATTTGTGTCCAAAATGTTCCCGTTTTCAGCAGCCACTGTTTCTAAATGTGAAGCTACAAAATACCAAACTGAAAAAGTTTGTCTGTGTGTGGATTTAAAAATGAAAACAACCATCAACAATGTCCACCTCCGCCATAATTTGTTTGTCTTAAGATCTTTGTTTTTAGGTTTTCTCGCACAAAAAATGTCTGACAAAAGCAAATTCATCGTTTAATTTAATAATGTAATTTCATATTTTTAATGCCCCTTCTATATATAATTATTTGTTGCTACAAAATATTTTTGTTTGAAATAGGTATATATTTTTATTTCTATATCATGGTTCTGAAAATAAAAATATATAAATTAATGGAAGTAGAACGCGTTTTTATGAATTTAAAAGCTCAACAGCCGATAAAAACATATATTTTTACCACTAGCCAACATGGCGGAATTTTACTTCATTATTTATAAAATTGACATGGAGTCGGACACAAATCATTATATCATATTTGTGTCTAAAAAGAGAGAAACTCATGTTTCGAAAACGAATCGACAATAAATGGAAACCTTGTTTCCAAAATGTTTCGATTTAGCGCTATCTGTGTAGAAATTTCGAACTAGTCACCTGTCAACAACGCCAATCAAAACTTCTTGCCAAAATAACTAAAACATTTTTATTTACTTATTATAACACAATTAAAACATAAAAAACATGTATTCCATTGTGGAAAAAAGAGAGAAAATTTTTACTGGTTACATTTATTCTTAAATCAAATCATCTCAGTAATGCGTATAATAAATTATTATAAAGTCGCATAAGAAAAATATCTGTATTTGTACTCACCATATGTCCTTTCTTCTACTTTTTTAATTATAGTACTATAAAAACTTGAAGAATACTTAAATGCAAAAACTGCAGGACAAAATCCAAACAATAATGTGTTACGAAATTTATGTATCAAAAATGTGACGAAACGGTTTTGCATTTTTTGCAGCAGAGATTTTGTTTCGATTTTGTGTCTAAAAATGCTACTTGGGTAGCTAACAAACAAATAATTTTGATATCAAAAATGAAACAAAATAAAAAATAAGTTTCATTCTGTAGATTTTCTTGTAGTGCTGAAAAAAAAGTAATATTTGAATGTGTTAGGTTTTGTTTTCTATAAGCCATTGCAATAAAATCAGTAGTCTTTGTAATTTGTCATATGAAAAACCAGGCTAAAATAGAGGAGAGAAATATTGTTTATTATGTTCTTTACCCTTTGCAGGTTTACCGATTTCGTTCGATGAAAGTAAACAAATTTGTGAAATTCTCCACCATGTTGGATCTGGGTCCCTACTGCTCCAAGCGCGCGCAGAATCTTCCATCGTTCGAGCCCGACCAAACCAAGGTCCTCTACTCTCTTTACGGCGTAGTGGAACCTGGTATCCGCAGCGGCCGCTACGTCTCACACGTCCAGGAATTTAGAGGACCCCGCATCGGCGAGGGCAACTCGATGGAACTTCGTCCCCAAAACCAAAGGAAAAACCTGAAGAAAGCATTGGATAACTCGGCAGTTCGCGGAGATGAGACGGTGGAACCACCCGCGGGCAAATGGTACTACATCAGCGATTCGTTCGTGAACGAATCAAGGTCATACTTGCTTTCTGTTCTACGAAGGGCTGGTGTAGGTGTCCGCGACTGCGTCATGCCATATTTTCGATTATTTTTTTTTATTTATTCTCTGAAATAACCGAAATATATTATTTTATTTATACAGGACAGATATTTCTTTTTAAGTCTTTTTATTATTAGCGCTCCTTTCAGTCTGTTTTTACAATAGTTCATAATTAATTGTTATTGATGAAACTTCATTGAAATAAATAGAGAAAAGAGACAATCTGTTAATTTTAATACCTATTTAGCTCAAAAGAAATAATATAAATTCAAAAAGCTTTACAACAAACAAACAGGTGCCCAACATAGTACTCTATGAGCTTGGTGCATTTCTCTGCCGGAGTGCTGCCATCATCGGAGAATATCGGAAACAACTAGTATATACAAATACACGGTTTAAATAACAAAATGTACAACAATTTAATTATTTAATTGTTCTAAAGTGTTAGAAAGTATAATTTGTAAAATTCTAAGGGATACAAAAAAAAAAGTAATATTTGGATATTTCACTTAGTAGTATAAATTTATTATTCAGATTAAAAAAAACTTTTTTAAGATGAGTTCAACTACAGTACTTGAGAGCATAAGTTTAATCCACCCGAGGTTTTTGCTAGTGGGTCATAATTTGGGCTATTTCATTATATCGAAATTTTTAAAAAGGTACATAATTATAATTTTAGATGTTCATAAAAGATTTAATCAAAGTATACCATTAATATTGCAAATTATATTTTGTCCCCTCATAGTATGTCTATTTAATTTTTGATTATATAACGAGCACTTTGTTTCGTCGAACTGCTTGAATCCATTTTTGCTTTTGATCAAATTGGTTTGAGAAACTATGCTAAGTTAGAAAATGTTGTTTCGGGAGAGTTGAATATCCGGGAAAGTTGAGTTATTGAATGTTATTGCACACAACAACGCCCTAATTAGGCTCTTCTTTAGGCGTTAACATTTTTTCAGCAATTTTATTAATATTTGGACGTCTAGTTCGGGCTCTTTTTCACATATTTTTTACTACCCGAAACAGCGTTACATCACACAAACCTCGTACGTGAGTTTTATAGTTTCAATAACTGCACTAGCAAAAAACTAAAATACTTAAATTTCAATATTATTTTAATGCGATCAACATGAACTTTAACCGGGTCGGCGTGAAATGCATAGCGAAAATTTCTGATTTCTGCCGTATACAGCGCTGCTGTCGGAATTTTTTGAAATCAGCTGAAATTCACCAAGCCTATAAAATGACAGCTATCTTCATTTTATAGCCATCGTTAAACACCGTTTTTTCGATCATTTTTCCGATCATACGGTAATTTTTCCATGAAATCGGAATCAGAGTTTTCAATGTTAAAAGTAAGAGAAAAAATACACCAAAAGGAATAAATAAAACCAAATCTTATCACTGGGTTGCAATTTTGTTTACACAATATACAAATAATTCTATTATATATTATTTTTAAAGTTATTTAAAAAATAAGACATATTAAATATATACAACGTAAAAGGAGTATTTCGTATCCTCAAAATTTATATACAAAAAAATAACTAATACTCTTATAATAATAGGCGTCAGCAAATATATATAACAAAAGAAAAACTTCTTTTCCTAAAGAAACTACGATAAATTAGTAAATTGCGTGCAATTACGAACCCTCGTCCATTATTGTATAGAAAAATAATGTTTATAAATTTCCAACAATATATCTTATCATATTTAACGTTTAAAAGCAATACGTAACTGG